AGCATCGGATGCAGCTAAGGAAGCTGTTTGGATCAGGAAATTCGTGGGAGACCTGGGCGTCGTTCCTAGCATTGCAGGTCCCATTGAGTTGTATTGTGACAACAATTGTGCGATTGCGCAAGCTAAGGAACCCCGGTCACACCAGAGATCCAAACACATACTCAGGCGATTTCACTTGATCAGAGAAATCATCGACAAAGGAGACGTGAAGATAAGCAGAGTGTCGACAGATGATAATATTGCCGACCCATTGACGAAGCCTCTCCCTTCGTCAAAGCATGATAGTCATGTTAAGGGTATGGGGATTAGATGTTTGTAGGATAGATCATATAGCATAGTGGGAGATTGTTGGTTGTAATTCTCTAGGATGATCTGTGATATGACATTTGACTTTGTATTGATTCATTGATTTATGAATGTATTATTTTTCCCGTTATACGATTGGCATGTTTGTTGTATTTCGGCATCTTTGAATCATTAGAGAATGATTCTAAATTCCCTAGTCAGTCACCATTGTAGGAATAATGATGAATTAAGGCTAGCATGAGCTGTGATCAATGCACTGGATGCAAATCACAATCATGGGTACTCGCTGTGAACGAGTGACTGGATGACCCACATGAGATTGTCACATGGATAGAGTCATGACTTGAATCTCATACAGCGGTTTGTTCTTGGATCCTCATACCTGAGATGTCTAGAGTATCTGATATGAGGAGTGGCGTGTCTTGACTGCATCAAACGTCGTCTTTAACCGGATGATTATAACGGCGTTGATCAGATATGTTCACGAATCATATGGAGATAGTAGACATGCAATATGGGACTTGTCACCTCCTTAACAGGAGAGATATTGTTGGGCCCTCTCGTGGGAAGTTAGATTATGATAAATGCGTGGCCACGCTATAGATGAAGTTGCATCTATTTTATTAGTCGATTTGCCAAGACGAGAAAGCAATTGAACTTGAAGGGTGGCTCAAACCATGCCCTTGTTCAACATATGATATCGTGAGACAAAGGATCAGAACTTGAGCGGTTAATGCCTTGGTTAGATCACCTCTAACTCAATCCTAAGTGGGTGGTCATGGCGTCTTGCTAGAGGCTAACCATGACTTGTGGTTCGGGAAAGGTTCCCAAAGTCACTACAACTTAGAATGGGCCTACAAGGTCACACACCACTAGGGATGGACTTATATGTGAAGAATCCGAAGAATGAAAACGAGATTTGACCGAAACGAGCATGAAAAGGAGTTTTCAGTGTTGGTCAGCTCAGGCGGTCCGGAATTCTGTCAGGAGGTCATCTGTCCAGGTCTGGTCCGGCTGACCAAGAGTTGGTCAGTCCCGGACCAGACGCTGGAATCAGGCGGACCAAGGACGCTGGAACGGCGGACCGGAAAGGAACCAAGAGGCTTGGTCCGGAGCTGACCAAAAGTTGGTCAGCCGGATCAAACCTCCAGGTCAGACGGTCTGCGAGCCTCGGACTAAGCCTGGTCCATCGGACCAAGCTCCTGGTCCGTCGGACCAAGCTCCTGGTCCGGCAGACCGGGATCTGGGAAACTTTCCAAAATTCGATTTTAGGGTTTTCTAAGCTTATTTAAGTTTGAGATTTTGTCCAAACTTAAAAGAAGCCGCCTTAAAACTCAGAGAAACATCCTAGAACCCTAGAGAACCTGTTCTCTTCGATTTCTATTGTCCCGAGATTGGATCTCGTCTCTTGAGTTACCCTTTTCTTCACTAATCCTAGCAGATTCGTTCCAAATCGTTTCGAATCCTTTCCGTCGGTGTGGATACGTGTAGAGGGACTGTAACTTCAGTCCTAGGTGATTTAGAACAGGTCCCGGATCGAAATTAACTTCACGTTTCATCGAGAACGAGGTAAGTAACGATTCCCTCGGTGATATACACGATCTTTCGGGTTTTTCAAGTTTGGTTGTGTGTGACGTTTGACTAGGTTTAGATCTTTCTTCCGCTGCACGAAACCTAGTGAACCAAACCCTAGATCGATATGATCGCATGCTAGGAACCCGTAGATTCCCAACAGTTTTTTGGACTGTCGGCAAGTCTCTGAGCTTGGTCCGGCTCACCAAGAGTTGGTCAGCTCCGGACCAAGCCTCTGACTTGTCAATTCCGCGAGTTTTTACACACCTGGTCCGGCGAACCAAGCGTCAAAAACTCCAAATTGCCTTTTTCTCGCCTTTTCTCGCATGGGAAGCAGGTGGGGAAGGCTTGGCTCATCATTATATCGTCCCTTGGCCTTCAGAAGGGTTGAGGTTGATCTGGAGAAACTCTCTCAAGCTCAAGAGAGTGTTCTTGGATCCAAAGCAAGAGAATTGTTCTCTTCAAGCTCTAGCAAGCAAGTTTCCAAGTTTTGGAAACCATCCCAAGGGTGTGGACTATTCAAGAGGGTGTTGGCTCATTCAACACCTAGGTTGTGATCAAGCCAACCTTTTAGATTGTGAATCAAAAGGTTAGTTTTTCTCTCAAGAAAGTTCTTCATCAAAAGATTGGTCCGTGGGCGGTTCAAAACGTTTTTGAACGCCAATTCCGCTGCGTAAGCCCGCGGACCAGATCCTAGCACGGGTTTGAACCGGCGGTCTAGGATCCCGTGTGACCCAGCTATGGCTAAGTTTTGTTGAATTGATTGCTTGACCTTTAGGATTTTCTAGAATGGCTTGTGGGATAGAAATCGTTGGTTGATACCCATGGGACCGATGTTGTCTAGTCAGGTAGAAAAGTTTCTACAAGAACCTTTCCCATGTTTGCTGAAATCGCTAAAGTCTATTATCAAATGCATTCTTATTTCTTTATGAGCAGAAAAAGATAATGAGCATCTCGACACTCCGCTGTCATTATCTCGTCAACGAAAATCGTTCGAGGACATTAGTGCATCGATTTGATGGTTCGATTCTAAGTTGTGGGTCGGGTTATCCAATAAAACAAAATAAAAAAAAATTGATTAGGAACCCTTCAACTTCAACGTTCTAGAAACCCGAGATGCTAGTAAAAAAAAAAAGAGAGAAAGTCTAGCTAGATGAAAAAAAAAGAGAGAAAGATAAAAAGAATGGATGTCGAAAGCGTAGACTAGATACGATTAGGTACAATGGCATAATAGGTTCGAGAAACATGCTTGATAGATGATTGAAGTCCTTAGATTGGTTCTGGGTAGCGGTATAGATCCCATAGCTAGGAAAGACTATCCTTTAGAGAGGGAGATCATATTAGACAGACTTGTCATTGTTCACGGGGATCTAGGTCGGATAGATGTTTCGCTCTCGATTATCATTTTGAGTTATGTCATTGTCTCGCCCTCCTTTCAGATTGTTTTTCACGGAGTATTTGCTCGTGGACGAGCAAAGGTTTAAGTCTAGGAGAGTTTGATAACACGTATTTTGGGTGACTTTTGATATAGGATGTCTAGCGTATTTAACTCTATTTTACATATTTGTAGGCATTCTAGGGCACATTTGGCTTCGACATTGCATTGTTGTGTTCTTTGGTGTTGAAATAGGTTTTCATGCATAAAAAGAGCAAAAGGAGTGGAAAACATAGACTACGGAACATCACAGACGAAACAGGAACATTTGGAGTGTTTCCAGGGAAAACGTGAAGCTCAGAAAATGTCAGATCTTGCAAGTCCAATAACTTTCACTCTACAATTCCAAATCCTACGTTCTCTATATTATTGGAAAGCTCTTCTCAATATCTACGCATAGACATCAAGATCACCCAAATCCGATATCGGAACAGGAAGTTATGAGCGAATTCGTGAAGCCCGTTAAAACTGCTCAGAAACACGACAAGATCGGTTCGGGTTTAGCGAAACGATCGGTTCGGCATCGTAGAAATTGGAAAATTGCTCAGAAAGTGTAACCGATCCGTTTGGCTTTGCCGAAACGATCGGTTCGACCCCCAGATTCGGGAAAACTTCCAATTTTGCCCAAACCGAAGTGAAATAACAGGGAAAAACCTCTAGGTCGAGAATCATTCAGACTTTTATGAGAAAACAGACCAAGAGCACAAGAAAAGGGGGTGATTATCAGGAAGCAAGAGATCAGAGTAGAAGACGGAGATCACGAAGCCGAGAAATCGACTAAGCGTTCCTCTTTCCTTCTATTTTACAATGTTTTGTTGTATTGATATGAACCCTGACGTCTCGATGTTTAGCGAGTAGTTCTTTTGTTGTAGGTTAGGGATTTGCTATGTAGAGATCTTTGGTTTCTAATTCCAGACTTTGTGGTTTTATTTATTCTATTCGGTTTATTGAGTTGCGTTTAATGCGTTTGATCTTGTTGGCCAGTTGATTGGATGAACTTAGGATTTTAATTCGCATAGACATATGGGATTCTAACCTGGAAATAACTCAATAAATAGAACAAGTATTGCATTGAGAGATGAATATTTGTCTAGAGATTATGATAGCATTCGTTCATGCATCCAGGATTTTAGACTATTGAATCGAGAGATTAGTAGGATAAAGCCTGGATAGTGAGGTTAGACTCAGAGGGTTAATCTCTACTTTAGAGTTTGAATTCCCTGAATCGGATAGATAAACCACTGCGTTTGCATCTTTTGAAAGATCCTTGCATGTAAAGCAATCTCGAAACTTACAGTGTTTTGCCATTGATAGTTTATCGTTTGTTTTTATTATTTTGCTTTTGATACATGCTCATCATTCTCATATTTTCTCTAGATCTAGATTTGGATTGGAATCTGATTCAATTGTTTACTTGTCCCTGTGTTCGACCCTAGTTGCTACACACGATCCGTACACTTGCGGTTAATTGTTGAGTCTAGGATATTATAACTTGATCGAATTTATTCGCCTAGATTTGCGACATCAAGTTTTTGGTGCCGTTGCCAGGGATAATTTAGGCAATTGGATTAGATTTCTACTTGGTCTGGGTCTATTTTCTTTTTGTTTTTTTTTTGTTTTGTTTTTTTTCTTTCGTCTCCTTTCTCCTTTGTTTTCTCTTGTGTGTGCAGGCACGTCCTTTTCCGGAGTATAAATAGACAATCGTGGATATGAGCTATTTTATGAATGACCCTTATGCCAACCCTTATGATCCGGGTTGGATGGACTATCCCGATCTCTCTTATGATGCATACACTTCGGATGTTTCGCAGTGGGATTTCAATTACGTCCAGAATCAGGGATCCTATCAGTTCCAGACTTGTCAGTCTATACCTTCGTATCACTACGATCAGAGCAATGAGACATATTATCATTTTGAAGGATCAATCCCGGAAACATATGGCCCCCACCGACCGCAATTAAGCAGGAGATAGATTCTGAGAAATCCTTACTTGTTCGGTTTTTGCAGGGACAAAAGGACTTCTTTGAACTATATGCAATCACTACGCAAGTCCCAGTCCAACAGAACTGCTAAAATCGCCTCCCAGTGGCAAGAAACCTTTATGAAACGACCAGAAATGGACTCCAAAGAGCATCTTAACACCATATCGATGAAGGACGTGGAGCAATCTGAGTTAGAGCCACTACAGGTCATAAAAAAAGGTGAGTATTCTAATGCTTATTTAGATTATACGCCTAAATTTTTTACCGCAGATGAGTATTCAAGGACAAAATACGCCAAGACCACCACCGGTTCCGTTCCCTTCACGCATAAAGAAACACAAGGAAGACATTCAGTTTGATTAACTATGTTTACAAAAGTGAAAATTCGAGGTGAAATCACATAAGGTTGAACTGGTTGTTTACTCGTCTGAGACCATTCCCATCTCGGGTCGAACAGTCCCCCAAACTGATATTCAAGGAGATCCACCACCTCTTCCATCGGACTTCCATCCTGACTCCCAATTACCACCACTCAATCTTCGGTCGCTCGATAAGGTAAATGAAAAACTACATCACATCGATCGAAGTCATACCAAGTCAGGTGAGTTTGTCCCATCTAATCTTATTCCACCTAAAATCATTCCTCCAAGAACCATTCCCTGAACCCCCTCCCACATGAACAATACGAGTCAAGCTAACGACCTTAAACAAGCGCTTCCGGGAGGCAACCTAAGTTCTTAGGTTAAATTTTCTTCCCTTTCTTTTTCTTTTTGCATCGGATATTGGTTTGTGTCTCTTATCACCAAGTTGAGTTGTAATGAGGAGCTATTGAGGAGGCAAGGAAGCTAGCTATGCAATAGACATAGGCAAACTTAAGTGCGAGTGACCGAACATCGCGAGCTAAGTATTCTTTTCCCTTTTTGATTTGTTTCTCTTTTGACTCATCTTATTGGTTGTCTCTACTAGACGAGAATTGACACCGAGGACAGTGTCTAATTCAAGTCTGGGGGAGGATTCGTTTAACGGCAAACTATATCTATTTAGAGTAGTGTTGTATGCATTTTTTTTCCTTTTTCTTTTCACTTTTTAGTATCATGTGCATATAGAGTGTTCTAGGATCATATAGTTTATTGTTAGGATTATGCATTTAGATATAGCACTTAGTGTTGGGTTTCCTGGGATCTCTAGAGCGAATTCTATTCCTAAGAGATCGATTCTAGGGTTTGCACAGCGAATGTAAAACAATGATTTAATAAACCCTAGAACCATGCTTCTATGAATCGTAGAAACGTTAGAACGCTTACCTCAATCGATCCGGGGCCTGTATCAATTGAAGAATTCGTCTGATCATGAAAGGGAGGAAGAATACCTCACCCTCTACACGTATCCACACCTCGGGATGGATTCCAACGGTTGGAACTTGTCTGCTAGAACCCGAATCTGCTATTCGGTATGAAGCTTCGAGAAAACGAGACTTAGAAACTCTTGGATCTTTTGGATCTCACCAAAAGCTGTCAAAAGTCTGCACCAGACGGCTCCTTCAGTCTTCTTCACGATTAGGGTTTTAATCTCCTTCTTATAAGGTAATTTAACCCTAATTCGGTCTAATTTCCGAAAAATCCGAAACCCGGAACGGATCACGAAAGGGAGAAAGAATACCTCACCCTCTACACGTATCCACACTTCGGGATGGATTCCAACGGTTGGAACTTGTCTGCTAGAACCCGAATCTGCTATTCGGTATGAAGCTTCGAGAAAACGAGACTTAGAAACTCTTGGATCTTTTGGATCTCACCAAAAGCTGTCAAAAGTCTGCACCAGACGGCTCCTTCAGTCTTCTTCACGATTAGGGTTTTAATCTCCTTCTTATAAGGTAATTTAACCCTAATTCGGTCTAATTTCCGAAAAACCCGAAACCCGGAACGGACGGTCCAGAAAT